GGCAGTTCAAACCCACCATCTGCCTTGTGGGAGAAAGACAGCTTTCTACTCCCATAAACAGTTCCGTCTCGGACACTCACAGGCAGTTTCTGCTGTGTCCTCCCTGCTATCCAGTCACTGCCAACTCAGAGTGACCCTGTAGGGTAGGGTGGAATTGCCCGGGTGGGTTTCTGAGACTGTAATGGAGTAGAAAGCCCGATCTTTCTGCTCCCAACCTTGCAGATCCCAGCCCAATGTGTAACCTATGCCACCAGGGCGCCTACTTTGTCCTAGAAAGTCACTCGGAGCTGAGATCAGCGTGATGGTCGTGAGTCTTGTCAGTGGAATGGAGATGCAAAGCGGGGTGGGAGGGAGGTTTCTAAGAGGACTTCTTAGTCTTTCCATGTTTCTTCTCTCCTCCTGGCTAACTTTCTTTTTCTTCTTAAACTTCCTTTCCGGTGAGACAGTTTCCATTTCAGAGAGTTAGCCCTGCAGTCCACAGTCTACACAGCAGCCCAGCCCTTCCCTGCTCACTAACTTTCTAGCCCAGCCTCCAAAGAGCAAAGGAAGCAAGGGAAGTAATTAATTCCTTCCCTGTTACTGCTAGCTCTTCCTCAGACGCCGACGCCTGCCCGGGGTGGGCAGCAGCACTCCTGGGGAATTAAAGAAAGGAATGCTGACCTCCACAGCTACAACCACAGAAAGAAAGAAGTGTTCTTTGTATCCAGGTGTTTCCTTTATTTTCCTCCCAGCTTACGCCATCAAGTGTGGAGTGTGATAGTAAACAGCTTCCCCCCACTTGTTGAACTTATCGCATCAGTTTAACGTACCATAATGCCACTGTAAGAAATAGAATAATATCATAATTCTTGTCATGAGGAATTGACAGTGGTATTAGGGTGGGATGCGATTAGGATATTGGAAAATTACGAAAACAGTGATTTGGTCAGAGTGAGGAGGTGGTAGTGCACAGTTAAGATTGAATGACCTCCAATATAAGGGAGTCAAATGATGAGAGAGACTGCATTAGGAATAACAATTAATTGGCTGAGACAGATGTGGGCAACAAAATATGGAAATTTAAAAATCAAATTAAAAAGTAAGGAGTTTGACTTATTTTGAAAGGAAATGGAAAGATTTTTAATTAAGCCAAGACCATGACCAAAGCTAGGCCTTAAAAAATAAACCCATCAGTAATGTCTAGGGTGTGTGAGAATTGTGGGTAAGAATTGCCTAATTCTATTGTTATTTTTGTTTGAGGTATGATATTGAAGTAAATGTATTGGTTTTATAGAATAACATCCCTTGCAACAGGGAAAGAAAGTAGTTATTTTCTTATTGTTACCATTACCCTAAGTATTTTCTTTAATGTTTTGGAATTGCCTTCAGAACCATTATTTATGGTGGTAAATAATAAATATTTTGAATTCATCACAGCTGCTGATTTAAGACTGGCTAATGCACTTTGAAAGAGCTGCTTTTGCAAAGGCAAACGTGTTGCTTCTGCTTCCGACTGTGAATTCTGCTTTGCCTCCTGCAGCTACACAAAATTTTATGTTCATACCAGTTAGCTTCCTTTTTTACATATGAACTTGCCCGTCCGTGCGTGTGTGTGTGTGTGCATTTTATCACGTACAAGCAGTCCCTGGTTGTGAGTGAGCGTCCAATTTAAGGACTTAGAGACCACGCCTACCTGTCCATGAATGTTATGGTAACTGCAGGTGGAGCTCTTAAATCGGTGCACAGGCTTGAAGCCTTTTCTTGCAATACAGTGAACCAGATGTACTAGTCTGACTTACCTACAAATCTAGACTTAAAAATATATTTAGGAACAGATATTATTGGTAAGCCGGGGACTTCTTGTACCTATTTTTATTAAAATTGTATATTCTTCCCACGTTACAAATGTGCAAATGGTATGGATACATTTTTAAATAATGAAGTGATCTGGATTGAACCTAGTATTGCAATGAAATATACATATGTGTATAGTCATAAATTAGTTTGACATTCAGGAGGTGAAAATAGTGTAAAGCAAAATAAAGAGTTGTTTCAATAGAATTCCAGATTTCTTCCTAAACCTCCTGTGTACACTCTGTTCACAGAAAGAGTGGCACTTTGATCACTTTTTACATTCTAACTGGCGTGTCCTTCAAATGCATACAATGATAAAGGAGAATATGTGTCTATAATTTTCTTTTGAAGGAAAAAGAACGATTGAAGCAAGAGAAGCGGGACGAGAAGAGATTAAATAAGGAGCGTAAACTAGAGCAAAGAAGATTAGAACTAGAAATGGCAAAGGAACTCAAGAAGCCTAATGAAGACATGTGCTTAGCAGACCAAAAGGTAATCCATACAGCACGCCACCTGCACCATTCCTCATTCCTAACGTCCCTGTGTGCCAGGGCCGCCATCGTGAAAGCGTGCTGTTTTTAACTAGAGCCATGGGCTTCCAGTTCTGGGTTGGTACGCCTTCCCTACGTGGTCGCCAGGAACCCTTTCAAGAATTCCTGTTTTGTGTTGTGGCAATTCTGAATATAAAAGTGGAACGCTAACAAATCTTTCTGCTTTAGTTAAAAACCCTCCAAAACCCTGCAGAGAAGTGGAGCGGTGGACAGGCAGCCCGTGTTTCATTTGGTTCATCGCAGGCCTTCGGGCACAGAGAGTCTTCCTCGCCGTCCCTCACCCCACAGATATTTTTAGGAAATAGGAAATCGATAGCCTCGTTCAGGACTCAACTAATAGGAGCTGACCTTTTCCTGAGCATGTTGACCACATGTCAGACACGATGCGGTGATTGATAGGGATTCTCTCATGTGCTTACCACACTCCTGTGAAGCTGCTGCATATCTCCATTTACGGAAGAGACGAGTGAAAGACAGGGTTTAGGGAACATGTCCCAGATTACATACCTAATAACTGGCGATTTAGATCCAGTCTGTTACACTAAAAAACTCCTGGAAGTCATGTACAATTAAAGCACTACTTGTGCACTTTCTCCCCCAGAGCGCTTCACTACGTGGAAGATTGTGAAAATACCGGAAACTGATCTTGGCAACTAGCATGATTCACATTCTTTGAGTAAAAATTTACTATATTTGAGAAGATGGGGTTTGGAGAAAATTGTTTCAATAATTTAATATTCCTGATCACTTGTATCCATAGTTACTTAAATACCACATTCATTTCATTAACATGAAAGAATGATTACCCTTGATTTCAATAAGCCCTTTTCTAAGGTGTATAAAACAAAATTAATATCCTCGTAGGAATTGAATTATATTAATATTCTATTTACTCAACATAAATGCTTTTAAATAAAACTACCTTATACGTATAAGCCGATGCAATATCAGCCGAGGTACCTAATTTTGCCACAAAAACTGCATTAAAAATGTGCTGAAAGACTCGGCTTATGCTCAAGTATATAGGTAAATCTGTCTTTAAGTTGAATGTATACATACACTAGAACAGTTTGGTACAGTTCACACATAACATCAGTTAAATATTTGAATATAAATACCTTTCTGTTCATGTAAAAAAACACTGCTAGATACACTTAAATATGTTTACAGTAATTATAATACTAATTTTATGCCTGTCAGAAAGTAGCATCTATTGTTATTACATACCTCAAAATTTTAATACCTCAGGTTTTACAAGGGTTAGTTTGTAACTGTGACTTGTATGTAAACTGGATGACTATACCCAGAGATCATCTATTTATATATAAACACACTTAATAACATCATTAAAAAAAACTCATGTGGGCTGTTATAAGAGCTGTAAGAGCCCCCAGTAAAATGACTTATATAAAAAAAGAAAAGCCCAACTTCCATTGAGTCGGTTCTGACTCACGGGACCCTGTGCAGTGGTGAGGTGTTGCAGCCTGTGAGTCAGTGGTGCCATCTTCACAGGAGCAGGCACTTCACCTTTCCCCCACAGGGCAACTGATGGGGCTGAACACCGACTTTGTGGTTGGCATTCAGTGCTGATCCCAAGTGCCACTCAAAGGGAGCAAACCACCAGCCGCCCCGAGGGAGGAAAGAGGAGGGTTTCTGTTTGCATGACACGTTACCGTCTCAAACCCCAGGGGCAGTGTGGTCTGTCCGATATGGTTGCTACGAATCAGAATTGACTCGATGGCAGTGGGTTTGGTTTTATTTTAAGCAAGCTTGATTTTCTTGCATCTTTTTTTAAATTGACTTAAATCACACACACACTGTAAATAATATAAATAGCAAGGGTTAACTCTATTTTAAAACATACTTTTCTTAGTGTTAGAATGACATGGAAATTCTTATGTCTGATATTTCAGAAAGGAAAAAAACCTAAATTTAATTTTCAAATGAAACAACATTTGTATACTATCAGCTATTATATATAGTTCTGTGGTCTATATAATAGTAGGGAGGGAAAAAGGTTTTGGATCATTATTTCAGTACATGGAAGGAAGGCAACAGAATATATTTGAGCAAGCACTAATTCAGGTAAATAGAAATATTCACGTCACATTTTTTTTCCAGTCAAAATTTAAAGTACTTGTATTGAGTCCCATCCACAGGCAAAAATGTTTTAAATTTAGATTACCTAGTCACTGCGGTTTAAAAATATCTGTGGCAAACTGGCACTACACTTTAGTGATTAAAATGTTACTGTGTGAACATACTTGAGAGGTGAACATACTTAAGGAGTTAATATGTAAACATATTTCAACAGAGGCAGTTTTTAAAAAATGTTTTATATGGAAACTCATTATAAATGTCTCACTGAATACAGAGACCCCTAAGACGATGGGCTGCTTTATGACCAGTTCCAGTGCAGGATCACGGTTCTGAGTGGGTTGGCATAGTCTTTTATGTGTATCGCTCTGTCCAACGCCCCAGTTGACAGATGCACAGTGTGAGTTTTTGAGCGACAAGAAAGGTGTGAACTATAAACCAGTCTCATTAGAAGAAAGCTGAACACAAGCTGTAGGTTCCTGGTAAAATAGTGTTGAATTGTTTATTTCTTTGATGTATTTAATTTTGCTTCCATTAGGTGATATGTTTCAGCAATATGTCAACAAATTAAAACGAGTGCCCTTTTCCATTGATTTCCTTCGGCATTTATTGAATGGTTGCTTGTGTTCAGTACTGTGGGGGTAGCAGAAATACCTCCAGGGAGTTTAGCACCCAGAGAGAAAAAAGCCACGGAAAAGGGAAAGGAGGAGGTCAGCTTATTGAAATTTAGAAAAGTGGGGTTCTGTGAAGTTCTCCATTTGTATTTATCTATGCACTTATTTCATTTGCAGCCTTTGCCAGAGCTGCCTCGTATTCCAGGACTTGTTCTCTCGGGGAGTACATTTTCAGACTGTCTCATGGTGGTGCAGTTCTTACGAAACTTTGGTAAAGTTTTGGGCTTTGATGTGCATATTGATGTTCCGAGCCTGACTGTTCTGCAAGAGGGATTGCTAAATATGGGGGACAGCATGGGCGAAGTGCAAGACTTGCTTGTGAGGCTCCTCTCAGCTGCCGTATGTGATCCAGGTCTAATGACAGGATACAAGGTAAAAAAAACAAAATTTAAAAAGTAACTCAAGCACTCTTCCTATCAGTGCATTATACCTAGCTGCTGTAGCGTGTTAGCAGAAGGTTGAGTAGACGGTTCCAGTTTTTTCCACTTAATGTTTCACAAAGTTAAATGTCCATGTGCTCCTGGTTACATTTGCTACAAACTTAGGAAAAACCTGATTCCTAGGGCCTGAGGACTCTGCTTCTCTCCCTGTACACAGGACATACGCAATGGGTAGGTGACAAAACCAGGGGATTCATAATCCATAAGCCCGTTAGAAACGGGGTGCTCCTTCTGAAATCATGCGTCGTTCTCTCAGAATCACTGAAGCCAATCACAGCTCATTAGACTCTTCTACTCGGTGGATACTGGACATGTTCTAATTCATCTTCCTTCCAGTTAACAGACCCACCCCAGTCAGCTTTGCTATAGCTCATATTGTAGAGCAAAGGGCATCTGGACTCGCTTGGGGTTGTTTTGTTTTGTTTTGTTTTTCCATTTCCCCATCCATTCAGTGGACCAGGCAACCCATCAAGGCAGAAAACACCACTTTACTGGTAGTGCTTTTGAATCTCCCCATCCTGGGAAAAGCTTGGGGATAGTGTCTCTTGCCAGAGAGGTTGTGAGAATTGATTCATAACTTTTGCCGCACATGGGTATACGCACTTTTCTCCCTACCTGAGTTTCTACCAAGGCTTCAAAGAAAGAATCCCACAAAGAAGTATTTGAATGCCACCTGTTGCCTATTTTAATCTTCACTTCATCAAAAATGTGACTAAAGTCCTTGTCAGTAATATGTAATCCATATGATACCACCATTTGTAGATCTTACTGTTTCTGTGTTACACTTGAAGGGTTATGATCAATGTTGATTAAAGCCATCACATTTTTTTATAGGCCAAAACAGCTCTCGGAGATCATTTGCTAAATGTCGGTGTGAATCGAGACAATGTCTCTGAGATTCTGCAGATTTTTATGGAAGCCCACTGTGGGCAAACGGAGCTCACCGAAAGCCTGAAGACGAAAGCTTTCCAGGCTCACAGCCCAGCACAGAAAGCCTCCGCCCTGGCTTTCCTGACCAATGAGCTCGCGTGCAGCAGGAGCGTGGTGAGGTGAGTGGATGCCCAGTCTCGTCTCGTGACCCTTTTCTGGTTTTAATTTTGCCAATCACATAGTTAAATAAATCACGTATAGAAAATGTGGCGAAGAAAGCTGATGGTGCCCGGCTATCAAAAAGTATAGTGTC